GGATCGGGAAGACATACGACTACTTCCTCTATGTTGCGTCAACGCTTCCGCAGTCGGTCTGCGTGGGTACGTAGACAACACTCTCCCCTCTCGTTGCTATGCATCACCATGATCTTGCGTGTGCGTAGGAATTTTTTTGAAATTACTACGTTCCCTAACAGGCGGCGACGTGGGTTTGCATGCACGGGAGGCGGCGACGTGCATGCATGCGAGCGAGGCGAGCGAGGCGCGCTAGGTGAGCTAGGCTAGCGAGGCGAGCTAGGTGGTTCAGTGCAGTGGTTCAGGGCAGCGATTCACATGCACCGCCCGGTCAAAGAGCTATGCAGTGATTCAGATGCACGCACGCGTCCCATGCATCGTTTTGTGCAAAAATTTAAGTGTGCAAAACGTAACGGATACACACACGCGTCCGGATTCACACACGTACCGTTCTCATCCTTTCTCTCTTCCTCTCCCACGCACAGGCCTAGAAATGGGGTGCCTCTCTTCCTCTCCCACCCACAAGCCAGATCCGATCCTCTCCAACTTCAAACACCCAAGCGACCGAGCCCTCCCCAAGCGAGACCAAGTGAAGATGCAGTTCAACGGGCCGGCCTTCAACCGTCCGCCTGTCGTGCCGGAGCTGCGCTACCCATCGGGCGTGCTCGTGGAGAGGGAGCTCCGTGTGTGGGCTATTTCAAGGTGGAGGGGTTCCATTGAACTCACCCGCGCCTTCCTCAGAGCCGGCTATGCCCACCTCCCACGGGGCTCGCCGAGGATGTTCACCCTCAACGAGGTTCGTGACCGCGGCGGCATCCTCCTACTGCTCACGGTCACCTTCACCAACCCATTTGACGCGCACGAGCTCCTCGGCCAAGTCTTTTGGTGCGGCTGCGAGGCCATCTTCTTCACCGTCTACAACATCTACACCAACTACGAACGCATCTTCCCCGCTCCAGGCCAGATGTACTCCCTTCCCTACGACGAGGAGGAGGAGGTGTGAAGATGAAGACGGTGTTCAAGGGGCGCGCGCGGCCAAGGTGGAAGAAGAAGGTCAAGATGAAGATGTTCAAGCCCGGAGTCAAGCTCGTCATGTTTCGTTTTTTATTTTGTTGCTTTTCTATGTCGTGTCGTGTCGTGTCATGTTTCGTCATGTGTCTGTGAACTGTGAACTTATCTAAGTTATTGCAATGGTACGATGTGTTCCATCTTGTCTAAGTTATTAGGGTTTATTATGTGTGTTAAAAAATGTCCGTGCCCAAATATATCATTTCTTCCCTAAACAAGTCATGAAGTTCGAGAACTTGTGGTTTTCATTAATGAAAATCGGAGGGGGTGAGAAGCCCTCTGTTTCATTCAAACAAAAAGTCATGAACTAACATGCAAATTTATTCCCTTTAAATCCTAAACCAAGTGCCACTCTATCCCTAGACCAAGTGCCACTCTGACCAAAATCATGTGGTAGTGCAACATACATTTTCAACCTTCCAACCCTCCAAAATTTAAGTGCAAAACAATGGAAAAACACTCTCACGCGTGTCCAAACATTCACGGTCTCACTATTTTTTTTAAAAAAAAATTCAAAATCTCACTATGTATACCTTCCTTCCCTATCCATGTCAAAGTCTTGCCATCTGTCCTAGCGGTTATCAGCGCAGCCCTAAACACCACAAACCCACGTGGTCCTGGGTTCGAGTCCCTAGCCGCACCAATTTTTTGTGCATTTTCCACCCTTCATTTTTTAGACAAATTATGTTTTTCTCAATGTAATGCCCTTAAAAATTGTTCATTTATTTTGGCACCTGGCGTAAACATCTACCAGAGCTGAGGCACATTTTCCATGACATTTTGATCTTTGATTTAAATCACGGTGTATTCGAATTGGATTAATTAACAGCTCCAAAAAATTTCTAACCTTAATTGTTTGGCTCCGGAATAATTCAATTAGCTTCCACAAAAAGTTCCAGCATTATGATTTACTGCCTAAATTAAATCAGAATAGAAAACAGAAAAATACGCAAGAGAACCCCCGAATGGGCCTAATTGGATGCAGTTGGCTCATTAGTCTAGCCTGCACTTGGCTCTACTCTCTGAATTTGGCCCAAGAGCAACCTTTTTTTTGGACAAAAAGGCAGAGCAGAGAGCTGCATTTCATTGATCAAAAGTTTCTGAATTCCTAATTTCTTCTCTTTTTTCCAACATATTTAAATGTTGGTCACTTCTTCGCTTTTTGTTTCAACATTTAAACAACCTTTAAACAACTTTAACCAACATTTAAACTAGGTGGATTTCTCAAACAATTTCAAGATTACAAATTCCTCCATAATTCATGCCTTTCCATACATTTTCAACATTACAACCAGTGCGATTACCATACCTACAAATGCCCAAAAGTATTTGCAAATGGGTATTGGTAGTGCTTGATCTTCAAGCTTCCTAACCTTCTTCTTCAACATCCTAAGCTCAACAGCTAGCTCTCTATCAGTGCGTGCTTCGCCCTCCATCCCTTCTTTCGGAGCTCGTGGTGCGGCCACTGCCGTTCGTGGCAGCATGCGCAACCATTCTTCATGCTCTTCTTGCAGTTCATTCATTAGAGTCTTGGCCAGAGCATCGACCCAAAGAAAGAAGCATGTCACCTGCATGAACACCAAACAGATCAACCCATTGCTCAAAGATCCCGACCACGAAAATGGTGCAATTGCCCCGATTCTTACCCCATTCTCGCTGCACACGTAGAATGGATGATTCTGGTTCCTCGGTGTCTGAGAAACCCTCCGATCAACGCCCGCCCGGCACCGCGGACAGACGAAGACAGGCATGTCCACACGCATCCGGCTCTGCATCCGCGAGGTGGCGCGGGAGCTTGAGGAAGACATGGAGCTCGGAGCCGAAGGGATCTCAACGCCGCCGCGCCCTCCACTGCTAGCTTCCCACCGCCGCGCCCTTCACAGCTAGCTTCCCGCCGCCGTGCTCTCTCTCTCTCTCTCTCGCCATGGTCACTGCCGTGCTCTCTGTCGCCGTGGTCACCGCCGTTGTCGCCCGCTTATATAGCACACCCGCCAACGGCTCTCTGCTGGGTCCCACAAGCCACGCGTGCAACGGTCTGAATAAAATTGGCCGTTTCTGTCGCCTGGTCCCACCTGTAAGGGCCGAGTCAAAAGGTTGACCTGACGGAGACGGCAGAGTTCACGGAACGAGCCGGTGCGCACGGACTAGGGGCAAAACTGAGCACAATTCGCATCTGAGGGCAAAACTGAGCACATGAACACCACCGACGGCAAAAGGATAATTAACCCTTGAAATTTAATACTCCCTGTCTCCCTCCCTTATAAATATAGGATGTTTGGGATATTTTAATATGGATTACATACGGACTGAAATGAGTGGACAGACGCACTAAAACATGTCTATGCACATCCGAATGGCAAAAAGTTAAGAGCATCTTATATGAGTGGACAGACACACTAAAACATGTCTATGTACATCTGAATCGCAAAAAAGTTAAGAGCATCGTATATTTGTGAACAGAGGGATTAGTTGTTTTCCTTTTCTCAAATTAGCAAGTCGAAATGATATTAACTCTTAGCTAGGGTCATACTTAAAGTTGAATTAATACAGTTAAATTATACTAGTACACACAAAAATGTATGACTTCAGTGTTATTTGCATAGCTTGCTCGCATTACGTGCTGCATCTTATACTAAGGCGAAGCAAGTTGGCAATTGCATTATTATTAGCTTCTCCGGTACTGTTTTCCAGTTCCATATGCAGCAGTTTATGATCTCTTTTCCACTATGCAACCTTCTGAGATAGGTATTGCACGGATCTCCGGTACTGTTATTCATAATTGGTTGAAATTATTCACAGTTAGTTTAATAAATGATTGTATTTGGTATATTCCGTGTGATCCTTTCAATGGGTACTACCAAACTGGAGATTGTATGTTGTGAAGGCAATAATGAACTTGGCCCATTTGGAGGTGCATATTCAAAGCAATCTCTTCTGATTTCTGAATCTAGTTGCCAATCATTCTGCATCTTAATTAATACCAGCTGGAATGCTGACCCTTGCACAAAACGCGTTTATCATACTTGATAGTTGATACGAATTTAAGCACGTCTTGAGCTGTCCTAATACTCGAAATAAGGGACTTCATTACTTCATCCAAACTATTTAATATAGCATTCTCATTAAAAAAAATGTGCTCCTACGTTTTTTGGGTTGGTTTCAGCAGCGGCAACTGGCAAGGTTGCCATGTAAAAGTGCAAGCACAGGTGACAGTTGAAGTACTCGCAAAATGTGGATCACAGATAGCCTTCACGCAACAGTATATCACATGATGTAACAAATTTCCCTTGCATATTGAATCAACTGTTGCAAAGTTTTATTCTCACAAAGAGAAATAAGAAGTTGCAAACTAAGTTGATATTATCTTAATCTACTCTATTCCATTTATGATCTGCGAGCACTTCTCCTCCATGACTATGTCCACTCCAAATTTTCTTACTCCTGGCCACCCCCTAATCATTTATTAGATATTTTTTGTTTTTGACTAATATCATCTTGTGGAATTTTGCAACTTTATAACTGATCATATGAATCACTTGGTGGCAATTATTGTTGCCATTCTCTCGTATTAAACCATGAGCTTATGGTATTATTGTTCTCTTGGCATTCCCTGGAGGCATCAGTATGACATTATTGCCTCTTTAGATTGCTCAATGGGCAGACGATTCCCAACACAATCTTTCTAGTTTTTGATGTTGAAGATCCTGAGGGTATGGGTCATTCCTCGAAGAAATAAACTAGTACCCTGCCTAGTTGTCATTCTGCTCTAGTTAAGAGTAGGGTGTAACCTCAGTCAAATATATATCTGAAAAGATTCTCTGGGAACGTAGAATAAATGTACATGTCCCTACCTGCTCTGTACTCACAAGACAACATTACCACAGTCCTTGCACTAGATTTTAGAAGTTTTAGAAATTGCAGTAGAAGGTTCCGATCGACATTAGCCCAACAGAATGGAGGCGAAGTGCGCAGCTATCTGGAGCTCTGTCGATGGGAGGAGCGAGGAGTCTGAGATGATTGCTCACCTGCAGTCCATGTTCTGGAGCAACAGTGATGCTGCTGTCAACCTGTGCTCTCCAAACACCAGTGACAATTCTTGTGTTACAGCTAGCACAGTGCATAGTAATTTGTTCCTTCCTCTTGACATGGAGAGCCATGCCACAACGCCAATGGTGAACACTGGCATGGACCTATGCTTTGATCACCGGCATCAGACCGTTACTGGTCACAAGAGGACATCCCATATGGATGAGCAGATCAAGAGAACTAGCAAGAAATCCCGGACTGTTCCCTCGGTAAGGCTACGATATTGTGAACGCGAAGTTGTGCATCCTCTCTTGAAATAAATCCTTCGACTGTTCTAACATTCTGATTGATGCAATTGTTTGCAGGTATCAGATGCTCCGTGTTTAAGCCTAGCTGATAACGAGACCAATGGTGACACTGTCAATCAGAGCTCTTCGTCCTGCTGCAGCTCGGAAGAAGATTTGATTGACGCATCTGAGGAATCCTTTGTTCCGAACCAGGGTGACAATTCAAGAGGTTGCAAGCGGCCTTCGAAGAATTTGCAGTCTCTTTGTGCAAAGGTTAGGACACGGTTATGTTACTCTTGTTCTGATCGTGGAATATGAATATTTCTGTTCTCTGACGGTATTTGTGATGCTTCTTACAGAGGAGAAGAGAGAGGATCAACGAGAAATTGAGAGAACTGCAGAACCTGATTCCCAATGGAACCAAAGTAAGCTCTCACTTATTGGTTAGTGATTCACTTACTGAATAATGGAGAGTCCATCTAACACAGCAATTTTATGCGTTTCCAGGTTGACATTAGCACAATGTTGGAGGAAGCAGTCCAGTATGTCAAGTTTCTGCAGCTGCAAATAAAGGTAGTAAGTACTTGTTTATGTTCCAGTTAAGCCATTCGCCATTCCTGAAAAAATGTACTTCCCCTGTAAAGAAATATAAGAGCGTTTAGAACACTAAAGTAGTGTTCTAAACACCTAAAGTAGTGTTCTAAACACTCATATATTTCTTTACGGAGGGAGTAACACAGAATTCATCGAACCGTTACAACAAAAGTTTGCATGGACAATTCAGAATGTTTGTGCAGGTGCCACACTACCACCGTACTTCCAAAATTCAACATACTCCCTCCGTTCCTAAATATAAGTCTTTTTAGAGATTCCAATATGGACTACGTACGGAGAAAAATGAGTGAATCAACACTCTAAAGTATGTCTATATACATACAGCCGTATGTAGTTCATATTGAATCTCTAGAAAGACTTATATTTAGAAACGGAGGGAGTATATAACACGTTGGGAGGTTGTTTGGATGTGGGGATATGTTCTTTGGAGCTTCAGATTTGAACAGAATACCAAAATGATCCATAGAACCCCCCCCCCCCCAGTTAATATAAAAGGATTTCAATTTGGCAAAACGGGGGAAATTGCTTAATCCTCTGTGCTTTTTTCTATTTGATTTGAAAAGGAGGATACAAGAAATTTATTTCAAACATGGAGTATTATTCTGATATTCCCTTGTTCTGAACAGGTCTTGAGCTCTGACGAGACATGGATGTACGCACCTCTCGCCTACAATGGTATGGACATCAGCCTGAGTCTGAGAATTACCACAGCCCAAGAATGAACTGGTCATAATCCGAAGCCTTGTTGCTGTCAAGTCAAATTCAGTACATGGTGCATTTGTTCAAGATCTTAACCCTGACTTTGAATTGTTCATTTGCTTCTTGTGACTTAGAGGGAGGTGTTGCCTTGCCAGATACAGTAAGTAAATATTGTACGTATCAAATAAGTTGGAGCATGCCATATGTAGTAAGGAAACAATGTATCAAATAAGTCTGATTAATGATGATGACATTTCTTGGCTCAGTGATTTTCTTATCATCGAAGCAAAGACTTTCAAGTCTGATTAATTATAAACATTAAAATAAGTTATGCATTGCCAGTTTTTGGCATATAAGAATAGATCCTGAAAACATATAAATAATTAAAATCTACAAAGTACTTTGACAAAGAGAGATTTAGCACCTTGTGGCTCTCATGTTCCATTAGGTAGCTCTGGTAGGGATGTAAACCGAGTCCTGCTTATCGGTCTAACAGTTCAATAAAGTATTTTTTCCGGGAAAAATGAACTATCAAGCTCACCATTTATTGCGGCATTTACATCCCTAAGCTCTGGCATCTGATAGTAATTTGGTTTGTGCTGCTCAAAAGCTTTATCTTGGATAGGAAAGATATTGTTCAAAGCCAGAAAGTGCAACTTGGCAATGCCAAGTGCTTGTAGCACTACAGTAGTGGATCATGAGTTGCCATTTTGTATGCCGCAAAATAGGTTGCCAAAGTTGCATCAATAATAGATTGATGAGTACGTGATCCATATGCTCATGGGTTTTTGCTAGAACTGGTGTAATTAACAAGTAATATAGGCATTAATGAAGAATCCTCTATTTCGCTAATCACTAATTTCAGTGTGCATACATGTAGCTTTCACAATAGCTAACAAGATATCTTCTGCTTTACTTGGTGCCCTAAGCTTTATCTAATTGTGATTGAGGTGTCCAACTATTGTGGTTCTTGAGTTGAGCGGCATCTGGCAGGCATTTAACACTGTTGAATATATGTATAGGCGATCATCGCCTGCATGTATGGTTAGGATCTTTTAAGGAGTCTGTTAGAGATGCTCTTACACCGGTAACATAACATGACCCTAGCCTATGTTACTATCTTCATAGTTATAATAACAAAAGTGTGATATCATGCAAAGCTTCATTATTAAGTAGATTATAGACTCATATTGTATTGAAATATGTTATGTTATAGTAACTAGCTAAGTTATTCAAATTACCTCTCTCCTCATTAACTCATTGTCACATAGGTAAATTTGCTGATTTGACTATATATTACTGTTGAAGTTACTCTCACAGTGACGAATCTCAGAACACTGCCACCAGTAGCATCTGTTGCGGCCGGACTGCAAAATTCAGGCGCAACACGCACACCCACCTAACCTATGCCAAAGACTCTTCTGAATCTGAAAATATATAACAAAATAAATGGACATAGCCCACATCGAACATTTCAGGAAATCCAAGTTAGATTTCAGAATTGTGCTAAATTTCTGTTCCTCGAATTGCGACTTTGTATTTCCTGAAAAGTTGGATTCTGTTCCTCGAATTGTAAATCATGGCTGATGGTGTCGATGCTTCTTACAGCAGTTCACATTTCCTCTCTCACAAAGCGTTTTCCTTCTCTCGGGCGTTGACTAATGAACAAGCTCATCCATCTCACAATTCGAGGAACAGAAAATTACAAATTCAGTCGTACCTCATTAAAATTAACCACTGGCTATAGTTATATTATGATTTGTCTTTTGCTCATGTGGTTTCGAGCCATCCGTTCAGTTGAATTTACAATATATAATGTTGTAACATGATAGACAAATACTTTGGCTATGCATATAAATTTCTATTATTAAGAAATAAAAGAACTGTATAAAAAAGACATGCATTGGAGCATGATCAAACATGAGGTGTCATCAACATATGAGAAATGAAGATGACACTTCAAATGAAGATTTAAAGAAATTGAGGCCATTAGAATAACGCATGAAGACATGGACGAAATATATAAGATGACATTTTATAATTTTGTCCATATACTAAGAAGACTAGTCCCGTAAGGGTTCGATTTTTCTGGTTTTTTTGGAATTTTTTTTACCCCTGCAAATTGAGCGACACGTATGCACGGTGGCTTTCGTGAAGTGGTTGATCTCTTCTCTCTTGGACTATACCTGTAGAGGTGCATGGGCTTATCTTGTCTCATGTGAAAAGATGGTTTGACCGCATGGGCTGATTTTGTCTCATGTGAAAAAGAAATATTAGCTGCATGGCCTGTTGTATGGGCTGGTATACGTGTGCTGCTGCATGGCTGATGCATGCAAGCATGTGTCCACCTTTGCATGTTTGTAGTTCCAGGTTTGCACACGTTTGTGTTCTAGGTCCTTCTTTGCTTGCCTATAAGTAGCTCCTTGTTGTGTTCTTCTCTCATGTGTACTTTTTGGTCTCCATCTCTCCTCCTAATGTTGCCCTCGAGCCTCCACCCGAGATCCCACGGCGTGCTAGGTTGCCGCTCCGGCTCGCTGGCTGGGAGGTGCGCGCAGGCTACACCATGGATTGGGAGAGCCGCGTGCCATCCTCTCCTCATGGATCCTCCTCGGCTCCAGCTCCGACCCTGGCCTCCAAGGCGGATACACGGTGGTGGCCTCCCCGTGGTCCAAGGTGGCATGCCTGCAGCTGACTCTGGATAGCTTCCTACCCTGTTGCGCTCCATCCTAATCGACTCCCCTCGGTCTTCCCTAGCTTCGACCCTGGCAGCAGGTCCCCTCCACCTGCCCCACGGCCGCGGTTCCTGCCTCGCTACTTCAGTTTCAAGTTGCTCCTTGCGAAAGTACACATCGCATCTGCATTTCCTCTCCTCTGGTCTGCGTGGTTTCCTTAAACAAGTAGATGAGTTATTAGTACTACAATTTCATCGGATCTAAAGTTGGGTGCATATGCTACAAATTCATAATCTAAGAAGAATGTTCAGGTGTTGCGTGCAGGTCTGCGGTGAGGACACAAATTTGGGGGTCCAGCTCCTTGCGTGAATGTGCAAGGAATTTAGAACCTGCATCTTTAATATAACATGGTATATTTATTCTTAATCTCTTCATTACGTTGTGTTCCATTTTCTTGATGGAAGTAATTCTGGTTTAATTTCACATGATGTTTAAACAAATAAACACATGATCTGCTGAATAGCTGACATACATAGGAAGTACTACATCATTCTCAGGTATTTATTGTTCCTTTTGTGATAGTTTTCTCTCTCCTAAAAGTAAAATGAATCATTTTTAATCCTTTGATCAAGGTTGCCCAAAGTAGGGCGCTCAGCCATTGAGGCATTATCAATTTCTTTAAGAAGCTTCGCAAAATCTGCTCTTATACTAAAAAGATCTAATGTAGGTTTGTTAGCCTTATATATAGGGTACTATATACTGAACACATGATATTAAATATACAGTACATTGCACTGTGAAGTGAGTATGTATATATTATCCACACAGCTAGCTTCTTTCGGGACTCAATTACAAATCCCGTGTCAGACGTTTTAGAACCTACAAGCGAGGAATGCTCCAGATGCAGGATTCCAAACAGACTGCGAAAATCATAGCGATATATGCTAGGACCTGATGGCAAACGCATATACATAAAGGATGACGAATACCCACCTACAGTTTTTGATCCCATGTCAGACGGCAACTTTGATGTGAAAATAAATTGGAGTATGTGTTTAGGAGTACCGAAAGAAATCCCAGTGGAATTTATGTGTTTAGGAGTACCAAAAGAAATGACAGTGGAATTTTCTTTCATGAAAAATAAGAACGAAAATCTGTACTGATAGCTGCTTAGAGTTATGAAGATCATTCTTTCATGCAAAGTGCCTCCACTTTGTAAACATCAACCTATGTGTATTGATTTACACATAACATCGATTTTTTTTATCTGATCAAACATGTACCCCTTCTGTAATGCTTATTATTCTATGAACACATCCAAGTTAATGATAGCATTAACTTTATTTTTGTTTCCTGCAGCTTACTGAAGCTGAACCTGAGCTGCTGCTTAATTACTGAACCTGATGAAAACGAAGCCACTCAGACAGAGCTGCAGTGTTGTGGCTATTTGAGATTCATGGGGTTAAGGAGGATATGTGAGAAGGAGAAGGATTCGGAGCTATGAGTAGAAACTAGCAACACTCAACTGTAGCAAACTATGTAAGACTGAATCTTCTGATGATGATTAGCTCTTTTGGTGTTTGGCTGTGATGACTACTATATTACACATATGAAGCCTTAAAAAAGTGGAAAAGATTGTACACCTACTAGGGTTTGATCTTTTCTTAGCCAATGAAAATAGCCTTTTGTGTTTCCAAAACTATTCCTATTCTAGAAAGCCCTTTCAGAACTACAACTGTAGTAAAACAAAAATTGATCTTTGGCTGTAACTATTACCGCTAGGATCTTCTTATATTGCATAACCTACACTCATGCATGTCGACATAAAAAGAGCATAAGCTCTAACCAAATTTGATCGATTCTAAAATAGTTTGCTAAGCTGAGAACTTATTTACTTGATTTTTTCTGTTTGTTGTTGTTGTAAACTAATAAATAATAATTGTTTAATAGTCATCAGATCGTTTGCATATGCGGCGAGGAGTTAGTGTTTCACCACTGCTCTATTCTAATGAAAGCTGAGATGCGATCTGTTTTAGTATTAGTTTCACATGATGCACCCATTTCTGCCTGTTCCTTTCAGTGATAAGAATTTTGAACTACAAACTGGATACAAAATGACACCGAGTGATGTAGAATTATCCACTATTTCTATTTGGATAAGTTTAGAGGTGGAAATGTTTATATTCTATTAAAGGTTTTTCGCTGGAACATTTCTGTTATCAAGAGATGAGCCCTAACAGGTTCATTCTTTAAATACCTGGATGATTATTCCGCATAAACAAAGTCACATTGTCATTTTAACACAAGAAGCAAGTATCGTTCCATAATAGAAGTAGCTACTGTTTGCACTGAGTAGCAAATTCATAGTTATTGGCTTCTTAAGAAAAGCAAACACCCATGCCGATGAGATATACCTGTTCCATATGTCCATGTGGAAGTAGTAAACTCTTTCACCTTGGCGAAGCACCAACGGCCCAGCGCAAGCATATGCCATATAGCTCCTTGTATAATGCATCACTAGAACTCCCTGCACAAAGGATTCATCATGTGAACCAGGCATACAATTCAAGGGACCATTCACCTTAACTTGTAGCAGATTTTAACTGTTGATCACGATTTAATTTAACCAGTATTACTGTCTAAACTTGTATTGGATGCAGGGATCTACCACTTACCTGACGTGGTAGCACCAATGTACAATATAACCATAAGATTTTCATTTCTCGAATACAGGAGCTGCACCTCTTTGTTCCATTTCATCAACGAAACAAGAGTACTATATCAGTTAAGAGGCCACGGTGCACATAACCAAGAGGAATTGAGGGGTGGAAATGTATCAGTCAGACTATCAAAATTAGAAATTACATATCAGGCACAACAAATGCACCAGTTCATCAACCTAGACAGCAATATTAATAAAAACTGCCTTTTACTAGAAAACAATGCCGGGTCGCCCTGAATTATAAGAATTTAATCACTATTTTTCCTATTAAAAAAGAGTCAAGTGCCCAAGTCCACTTATCTGATTCATAAGCATCCACCCAGGAACTGAGTATTCTAGAAAAAACAATTGCTCGCCAGGGATTCAGGAAAGCTCAACACAGGCAGAAGAAGCCGAGGAAACGCACGGCCACCAGAACATTAAGGGAAGCAAAGGAACCGAAGCCGAGGCACCCAAAGCACCTGAATTAGACATCTTCGCCGGCCATCCCAAACACGGCCAGAATTCAGGAGCAAGGCCAATCTGCTCACCCCATCAGCAGCTCCACCGATGTTGGCCCACAGCACCACGAGAACATGAGTGAGATGGCTAGAATCGTACGTGTCAAAGGAGGCGAGGCGGGAGATGTATTCAATCAATTGTACTAGCTATCAACATCAATGAACAAATCAAAGGCACACCTGTAAATTCTGTCCCAAGAAAGAAATCGACAGAATTGGAACAAATTCAGGCATCTGAGTTGAGCAACTACTGAACCGAATCGAGAAGGATTTTATACCTTGAAGGCGTTGGCTTCAGCCTCGCATAGAGCCCTCTTCAGCTGGCCGCTCCGGTACCTCTCTGCAAGCGCAACCATAACAGCAGCGCATCAACTTGATTCGATCCGGTCTTCCACCGCCGGCGGGACCCACTGTGGTTTCTCTCACCTTGGACGCGACGGCAGAGGGAGAGGACGCCTGGATACCGGCGGTGCCCGCGAGCGCGGCCGCCACGTCCGCGACGACGGCGGTGGCGGTGGCGGCACAATCGTACAGGAACTCCATCTCCTCCTCCTCCCACGGCAGTGTTCCCGCGTCGAGGTGAGGGGGGTGGCGCCGTCGGGAGGAGCTCGCGTAGGCAGGCCGGAGGTGGCCGGCGGTCGGCGGAAGATGGTGGTAGTCTTTCGCGGTGTGTTGTTTAGCTTAGCGCAGCAGGGGGGTGGACAGGTGGTGCACAGAACGGGGTAGGTGAGTGAACAGGTGGTGTGTTGGTGACTTGCTGCTCCTAATTTATTTTATTTCTCTTAGTTTTTTTCTCTAGATAGTAGAACTGAAGGTAAAACACAATTGGTGCTGAAATTATTTGTGTAGCTGTGCCATCCTATATCTTCACAAATGGAATTTCAAGGCTGTGATTATAATGCTACTACTGATATGGGGTAGCAGAGTATGGTTTTATGAAGATATACCTTTGTCAACAAATATGTTGTTGCATTTATGGAGATCTTCGCATGACAGCACCAATGTCCAAAATATGTGATACTAACAAGATGGATAAATGCAAGAAATTCTCTAGATACTAATAGAAGTATTTTACTATTCAGATATAATATGTTGTACATGTACTCTATTCTCAGTTAATAATTCAGTGGTGTTTTTTTGCATAATGTTGACAGTATATTCTATGTTGGCTGGAATATGCAAGGTAGTGTGAATGATAACAGGGGGTGCAATTCTACCGACTCCAATAATTTTTTCCATTCAGCGTCATGTCTTCTCTGTAGCAACATGAATTTGTCTCTTGCGGATTTAGTTTTCCAGAACATCTATGCCAAGTTAGTGTGCTTAAAGTGTTGACGACTTCCAACCCATGTGTTAATTCAGTGATCACGGTGGGAGCAACATAAGTTGGGTAGTGCACAATTATTCTCTTGGCAACTACAAAGATACACACATATAAAACATACAACAAATTCTCAAAAACTTCACACCAACAGGGCCTTGTATAAACTACTTTGCCATTAATCAAATTTTGAGATGACTTATCAAATATTTAAAAAACTAAATAGCTTATCACTCTTTGTGGCGCGGCGTGCCGCCGCGCACTACCCGCTAGTATGTCTATAGGCACCTCACTTTCAGGTCAATTGTATTGTTGGAATAAAGATAGTAGACAGATTTTTAGAGTCCATAATCTGGGAGGGAACTGGCATAGGGATGTATTCTCTCCCCTATGTCCCTCCTTAAAAATCCGTCATTTCTCAAAGATTCAAACAGATTTGTTGTAAAACCCCTAGTCTGAATGTCATTTCTCAAAGCGAAGGTTTTATGGATATCAATAACAGTATATGGCCTTTCTGAATGCTCTGTGAATATATAACTGGGCAGATAATGTGCCTGGTGGCACTCGTACATGGCAGTACATTCAACCAGCACATGTGTAGGCCGTTTTGCCATGGGAAATACTTGTACTCCTACTTGATACTGACGATTCAACAAAAAGGTACTCCCTCCGTCCCATAATAGACGTTTTAGCTTGCAAAAAAGTCTTGAGACGGAGGGAGTACCTCCCAACAGACTCATTCAACATATCTGATGTAAATAAACTCCATAGGAGTTGAAACTACCCAGAGCAAACTTCACATGGGGGTGCAAGGAAAACACCACTTGGTAAGCAAAATGGCAGTTTTAGTACAATCACTTAGTACGATCACTTACTACATTTTAGTACGATTGCTTACATTACAATAATTTAGTACGATTGCTTACAGTACAATAATTTACATATGACTTAGAATTCCTGATACAACGGGTCCTTTCCTAAGAGCAGCTTTTGATCTTCTCCGGAAGTTCTCTACCTTAGTCAATGAGCCACTTCACTACAGACCTTAGTCAACGAGCCACTTTTCCGATACCGAGAATAGCCACATTCATAATCTCATCCATGATACTTTGCCCAGGAGTAGCTTAAGACTATGAGAGAATGAACTCATACATCTGACAGCAAGCAGCCAGCCCCTAACAAGCTTGGGTATGGCACCATTTGCTTCTTCCAACTGCTCCATCAGGCGCTCGGTTTCTTCCTCGAGCCGTTTCAGCTTGTCGTAACTGTAGTCCCTGATCACCACATTGGCCGCAGTTTCTAAGTACTCAATGGCTTTAAGAGCAGCTGTGTCCTCTGCCACTTCATCGTCCGTGGAATATGTTCCGGATATCGACATATGGGCGGGGGCTCCTTTGATTGTAGAGGCGTCGAAAAGCACGGTGACGCAGATCTTGTTATCGTCGCATATCTCGCGACGGTATTCGGCCTCTGGGATTCCCAGCTCTGCTAGCACGATGTCAAGTATGGCTCTCAAGGGAATTCTGATGATCGTCGGAGCATCCTGTAATGTTTAGAGCCCAAGATAGTGGTATCAGACTATCAGTGCAGGACTGGAACAAAGAATGACGGCTTACATACTAGACGAGCAGTGGGTACTGGGTAGCATGACACAGAGCAAACTGCAAACATACATCAAGGTAAAGGCGAATATATCTACGCACCATGATTCTTTTGTCCAGGAAAAAAGACATCATCTGGACTGTAGTCGACCTAGAGTGCCGCATGAGGGCATGGTCTTTGTGTAGCCAGAATATGCTACCGAGGGTTGTATTATTTCTCCAAACGTAAACATCAAACTGTATATGCGGCACTCATGCTATCGAGGGTTGTATTATTTCTCCAAACGTAAACTGCTAGCCGTGAAAGCGGTAAATATTGAGCTGGCCTGAGCAAGCCCTGGTGCTGAACCCGGTGACCCCATTTCTTCGTTGGTCATGGTCGCCATGGTTCCAAGGTCCTGCAGGAACCGGCAGTCACTCTGTTTCAGAGCTCCCTCGTGGCGCCTAAACAGAGCAAGAATGGGGGGAGCTGGCACACGGCGGATGCGGGCCAGGACCCAAAGCCGAGGTCGATTTACCTCGTGTGCTCGACGGGCGAAGGCCGAAGGCAGCAGATCTGCTTCTCCCCGCGACGGCGGCGCTGAAGAGCGGAAAGGGGGGAACAGCGGATTCGGTCGGTGCTCGGTGGTAGGCGTGGACGCGTGGTGGTTATCTAGCAAACAGCCGACAAGGAAGGAAATGGGCTTTGCCCTACCATTTGTTCTCCCCTTGGACAACGTTCACCCAGGCCCATTAAGATGGGTGTGGACTGTTGGAGTCTGTGGTTTCCCTCTGCCAACAAGCAGGACATCCAAACTTCAGAAGAGCCAACAAGCATCTGTTGGCCAATTCGGTCACACGTCTGAACATTATTCCTTAGGAAATCAGCGATATATTTTACACAAAGACTGCAGCTACATGATTAATCGCCACCCTCAAGTCCCCAGTCACTCAAACTGACAGGATCCAGATGAGATAGCAATGCTTCTTGCACCACTTCGCAATTTCTCTCCTGTTCATCAGGGATACAGCAAAACAGAGAGGGGATGAAAATCACCAACTGGGCCAAGCAGGCTTGATAGCTGGAGATCGCAAGCATGTGCCGGTGTAACATCAGACGGTCAATAGGGTTTAAATCTTGCAATTTCCATTATCATATCCACATATAACGAACAAACTGCACAATGGTTGACACATTTCATCAACTAATATAAAAAGAAGAAAGGGAAAAAAAAGGGATGAAGCTCTATGGTATACTAGCTATCAGCAAAGAAGGTAAAAGAAAAAAAGATGTACATTTGACTTATGGTCAGCACTGTGCAACCATGGCGGTATAAAGGCGCAAAGTATATCAGGCCTGAAAATGTTTATTTTCAAAAAGGTTTTTATACATCTCCAACCGCGATGCGAGAGATGCTACCACGGCTTCAGGTCACCCACCGGGCCAGCAGTCCAGTTCAGACGGGCCTGGCCGGGCTTCAAGAAGACATCTTCGCCATGCGGAAGCTTGCGGGCAAGCCCGTTAAGTATCTGATGGAACGCATCTCCTGCTTGAGCTGGCTGGGGGAACAGCATGGCCTGCTTCATCGAAGGGTTTGCGAGAAGCCTTTGCTTCCTCAGTATGTCCTCTGTTGGAATGGATGTCAGGATGCTGTCCAGCCTCGGGACGTCCTCCTCAGGAACAAACACGCCGATCTCCTCCCATGGGATGGCATCCGCGAAGGGCAGGACGATGTCGTCTGCGATGATCACCGGGATGCAGCCGAAAACCACGGCTTCCACCAGTCTGGGGCTCCATGGTGCCCAGCCCAATGGGCACAGGCAGAACACAGACCTCTGCATATCTTCATAGTATGTCGGTGGGTGATCGGTTGAGATGTCGAACAGCGGGTTGTTCTTGAAGTTCTCCCAGACAGATGCACGAGCACCTCTGTAAAATACATAGAAATGTCAGACTGACAATACAAAACAATACAATAAGAGGGAATAGCAGGATCTATAAGACTGATGCATCAGTTTTCGACAGACAAAAAATTACCTGGCATAGTATCCACCCTCAGGATCATTGCCGGTGTCATAGAACAAACCACGGAAGTATGCGAAGATGGATCGAGGGGTCTCGCCAGGAATAAGGTGATTCTGCATTTTCTGCGGAGGCGCAAATGGCGGAATTGTGATGGAGCCTTCCTTCAAGCAGACATGGTTCTTCTGTCCAAAGGTCTGAACCAGTGTGGCACGCTGAAGCAAGGGAAGGATTCCTCGCCCAATTGCTTTCTCTTCCTGAAATAATAATTTAAGATCTTGTTACAGAATGACAAAATTGTGCTGGAATAAGCATCAAGATAATGTGTCAGTCAGAAGAAAACATGGTATGACATGGCAGATTGGCATGTAGTTATTTTCAATTGGACAGTTAACTGTAGATCTAAAGAGTAGTCAGACCTTTTTTATACAGAAAAAGCAAGCAAATCATTATCTGAAACAAAGGACAGAACATGTACTGAAGTACTTAAGTCAGAGTTGCCCATTGATAAGTGCAAATAAAAAAAACTAGCATCTTGATGCCACACTGTCCACATGCTTTGTGCTGCAATTAGAAATCCCTCAGCTGTTCAAAACACATGTACTCCAGTACTAAACAACTGCTTAACATGTAGTATTCAGTTAATCAAATAAACAGCAAGGATTTGCTCATGTGTCTGTACCTGATAATGGAAGCAAGCGCCAAAGTCATGTGGCGTGACAAAGAAATGATCTGCCCCCTCCGATCTATTCCAGTAAGGCCATTTCGTCGCGATCAGCTCGATCGCGCTGCGCATCATCCGCGGAGACTTGAAGGGCAAGGGGAGACCCGAAGGCGTCAGGTCGCATGTCGGGTACACAGGTGTGTAGAACCAATCCGCTTCCTCGGGATTAGTGGTCCGAACCGCGCTCGACAGCAGGAACCGGTGCATGAAGATCTCCGCGGCGAACATGTGGTTCAGGCACCTTGGGTCTTTCTTCAGCAGCTTCTTGTTGTATTTTCCAGGGAGGTCATAGATAAACACCTTGAGCCTCCCAACAGGGTCATCGTCCAGCACGTCACCAGCACTCCCTGCATTTTGTTGGCCAGAAGACATCTATGAGTGTCGCCCAAAAGCAGAGCAAAGAATATACCAAGCTTGATAACAGGATCACATAGCACTTTGATTGAAAGGATTGTATGATAAGCAAGGTCTAACTCTAATACTCTATCTATGCTAAATGGCATGAATCATGATTGCCCTACGCAAGGTACATGTCTTGACTATATGAACTGAGGTGCTAATAGCATTTGGATGTTCAATAAAAGATAGTTTGGATTGAACCAGAAACTAGACAAATTATTTGGAGGTGGAACGGCAATAGAAACTACCCCATTCCACCTATCTGTACAATCCAGTCCCATCTGATTGTGAAATGGGACCTGTGAATTCAGGCTGGAGAAGTCTAACCACAAGCAATCAAATATGAAAATTCCCTGATATAGGATGCCAAAAATGCTGTCTTTAGCAGCGTCCTAGATGCAGGACACGAAACAGCTAGAGAAATCAAGCAGTTCGAGTTGCACAAACTGACAAGATTGGGGGAAACCCCTTAATTCGAAAAAAACAACTGACAAAGATTACGGGTATCAAGTCAAGAGTCAAGACAAGGCCCCTCACCTGAGATCCTCTCTGTCTGGTGGCCCTGCTGCGCCGGCGCCTGCTGGGCCTCCGCCGCAACAAGCAGCGCCGCCGCCGCCGCAAGAACCGCAATGGCAACCAAGGCCCGCCTCGCCATCATCTTCCCGATCCCCACAAACCTGCCCCTCTCTCTGTCCGGCTCCGGCGCTCTGCCCTTCTGAACCTCTAGGCAATCGCCAAGGCTAGTTAAAGAAGAAGAGAACGGGAGGCAGGGGAGAGGCTTTTCCGGCAATTCCTTCCTTGCCCCACCAAGAAGCGTTTGGTGGCGGCGGAAGGTGAGCAGGGCCTATCCTAGGCTTCCCTTTCTTCTTCCTACGCCGAGACCGAGCTTGAGGAACAATCAGAGCTGCTCATGTGGACTTCAAGGGAGGGAAGGGGGGGAGGGGATTAATACTGTTGGCTGAGAGACGAGGAGGGAGGGAGGGTGGGAGAGCTGTCCGCGGCTGATTCTTCCCTCCCTCTTCTCGCTTCCTGCGGCTTTCCTTCCTTCACTTTCCGTGCACACCAATGATGGGTGAGCTGTAGGGCTCCGGATTAGTCTAACGCGGCGTGTTTTCCAGGGAGGTTTGGTGAGGGGTCTGCTGCCAGGCTTCTTTCTTTCCTGCTCCCCTCAACCTCACCCACCTTGGACATTCGACCTCTCACTTGTCTTCACCTTGAACATGTCAACTTGTCAACTGTCAAGTCCTCCCTCTTTTTCCCTCATTCTTTAGCATGTAGTAGTAGTAGTGATTATTTATTTTGTTTAGGAAGGTAGGTGATAAATTGATACTGTATTTGGGTCCTCTGTCTCTTTCTCCAAGTCTCTAGAAGAGTATGTAATTGATTTGCACATGGGATGGATGGAAATTATACCAAGTGCCTGAGGTGGCTCAGATGCTTCTCTTCCTGATCCTTCAAAGTCCACCGGTCCATTTTAGGTCGAGTAGAGACGCTAAGGAGTCTGTGGGCCCAAATCAAGCGGCGCCCGGTGGAAGGTATTGGAAATCCGTGCCGCAAGCCGTAACTAACGGCTCACATCATTTCAGCCGACGATCGGAGGGCGAACGGGAGTGGCGTGACTATCTGAGTAGGCGAGTAGTTGAACCACGCGGCATTGGGAAGATACACACGTGTTGTCGTGGGTCATGATCGTTCTTCCACGTCTATGAGAAAAGACGCTTTCTCCATAGTAATTTGAATTGTTTTTTTTCCACATGGGATGAATGAAAATTATACCAGGTGACTACTCTGTGGGCTGAATCAAGCGGGACTGATCAAAGTGGTGGAAGAGCCAAAAGTTGAGTATCAGCAAACCCACTCTGCAAGCCAAAACCGACGGCTCAAATCGTTTCCAGTGGCGATCGGAGGGATGATAACATGCAAGCAGGAGTTGTCTGACCAACTAAGTGGGCGGGTGGTTAAACCCATGTGGCATTTAAAGAGATGGCTACCATGATCATTTTCTCAGTCATGATAATTGTAGTCAAAGTGTATCTTATGGTTGATGTTTTTTCTTTAGTGATATTTTATATTGACATGCTCTCCAATATACATTTGATGGATTTTCTTGGGTCATGATAATTGTAGTCAAAACTACTCTTATGGTTGATGTTTTTTGCATGGATGATATTTTCTGTTGATGTGCTCTCTAGTATACACGTTTGATAGTTACATTTTCTACGTGTATACCATGGAAAATATTTACATGGCAAGCTTAGTAATATATTTCAATTTTAACAGTCTAATTTTTTTTATGAAGATAGCAATCAAAGATTAATATGCACATCTGATTAATGGAATTATGCCAAGTGGCTGCTCTGTGGGCCTAGATCAAGTGGGGCTGAATGGAAGTCATGGCAGAGTTGAAGATATGAGGCATTGAAAACCCGCTACACAAGCCTATACTAACGGCTCAGATCAATTATGGCGACAATCGAGGGGCTGGGGACGTGTTTGTGGAGTGTCTCCACCGCCTGAGCAGGCCAGTAGTTGACCTACGTGGTATTTGAAAGATGGCCACTTGTTGTTATGAGTCATGATAATTTTTTGGATCATAATAATTGCTGCCAAAACTTCTCTCATCGTTGATGGTTTCTTCCATCGTTGACTTTATTTTAATTGGCATGCTCTCCAATATGTATGCTTGATAGTTCTTTGTGTATGTGTAGCCATCAAAACATTTTTCATGGTAACCTAGTTATCTCTTTTGATTTTAGCACGCCAAATATTTTTGTCAATGAAAGAAATATTGATAACATGTTTTCTAGAAAACCACTTACTCCATATCACGAAAACATAGGTTGTGACCATGTTTTCAGTTATACCTTTAACATTTTGACTACAAGTATCATTTTAATTATTCTGATTTAAAATTTGGAACTAATGTGTATAGATTTGTCTTGAAATGGTTTTTTGGTTTTATACATATGTTAGAAGGTGTGCGGGCTGCCTTGCCTTGCCACCGCGGTGGGCGCGGTGACCGAATCAGCGGTGGAGTTCGCGTTACTGTGCTGCTGGCAACTTTGGAAACACAGGAACACTGTGGTCTTCCAGCGACAGCAGCCATCTCTGCAGCGTGTGCTTGGATGCTGCCGTGAAGACGCCGCCCTATGGCGTGGTTAGCTCCCTGAGAGTCGGAGGGATCATGTCGAAACTTGGCTAGATGCCCTCTCCGTCTAGTTAGTGTGTATCCTGTTGCCTCCCTGGAAAACCCCTCTCTCTCTCCCCTTTCTCGATGTGTACACGGTTGTCTGCAAAACACTACCCTGGGGTTGTCCCTTGATCATCAATATATTCAGGTGGGGGAAACTCCTCCCCCCTCCCCTCGGTGAACATTAAAAAAAACATACGTTAGAATAGAAGTTATTGGTAAAAACTAAATCTCAAAGACTGCACAAAATATTTAGAAGCGTCAGACATGGAGGAAGGACTTACGAGCAGAGATAGTAAAAGTAAATAGCATAAATCAGTAGTTGTAGGTCTACCGAGACGAGCTAAGGGTTTTTGTGATCACAAAGAGGAAACCTGTATAAATACCAAAAAATGCATAAATTATGCACTTTCAATCTCAGTGGAGGAGTGTGAGCCCTTTAGTTTAAGGGAAAAAAAATCGCAAATCATATATTTTCCTTCGTTAGGTTGGGAAAAAATCTCAGTGGAGGAGTATTTTAATTTTTAAGTGTATACTCGAATTTAACAAAAGTGCTTTACTTGATGTGTGGAGGAGATTGTGCATATATTTTAATAAGATGGCAGGCATGGTGATAGTTGTTGCATCATGAGTCTATGAATCCAAGAAAATCAAACATTTCATCCAACTACATGGATCGGATTCTGTCGATCGTATCGTACCAAGACGCAGACACGTCACCCGCCGGAGCTGATCGCCGCCGGGAAGCCGCCCCAGCCCGCCCAGCCACGCTAGCTGTCCTGCCGGCGTCGGTGATGCACCATGTGAACAGGACATAGTCGTCGATCGTCGACGCGGCGTCTTACGGCGGGCGCTGCTTTACCTAGCCTAGGGCCAGCGCCAGGACCATCCCGCTGGAGAGGAGAACCCCCTCACCCACCGACGGCGTCGTCCTCGTCCATGTCCATGTGCGGCAGTAGCAATAGTCAATCCATCGTCGTCCTCCTACAGACGAGTGACCACCAACCCTGACCTGGACGATGCGTGTCTGCTTCCAACGTCAACACGGACGTGCGGACAACTCTCCTCCTCATCATCATAAGATAGACGACGAGCACGCGGCCGGGCACACGGAACCGAGTAGACGACAGGAAAGATCAGGACGGACCTCTCCTCTCGCTTGTCTTAGTTTAAACATGTACGCCAACTGTCACTCTCTCTATACTATGCTGGTCTCACTCTTTGGTATTATGCTATTAATTTGCTACTGTATTTAGGTCTTCTGTTTCTTCCCCCTAAGACCAGGAACGACTCACCAACATGTGGTGATTAGGATTGTTCCCTTGCACCGCACATGGGATGGATGCAACGGCCAGGAACGACTCGCCAACATGAATCATGCGTCATTATCCATTTCGGGGTCTCGATAATTATAGCCAAAGCTTCTGTTATGGCTAATGCTTTTCGCTCAGTGGTTTCTTTATCTACGCGAAAACTGGAAAAGAAGATCAGAACGTGTTTCACTCGCACACAAAAAAAGAGAGCAGAAAGCATTAGTTGCACTAGTTGTAGGTCTACTTAGGGCATGATCATGAGGGTCGAGGGGTTTGGTGATCAACCAGAGGGGACCCTAATGACCAGCAGAATATAGAAACTGTGCGCTGCCGAATCATCCGCGGGGCGACGTGAGCGTGTGAGCCCCTCTCTTTAGGTGGAAAATGTGAGCTTATGCTTTCGTTTGGTCATGCATTATTGCGCTTATTTGAAAAAGGAAAAGTGTGCTTTAGAAATCCTCGTACCAGAGAAGAGAGCCACCGACGGCGAGCACGATCCATGTGCTGCATTGCTTAGTACTCCCTTCGTACAAAAATACTATAACTAAAGTGATCTAGACGCTCTTATATTTCTTTACGGAGGGAGTAGTCAACTGCTCTTCCTAACTAACGACGAGTGATGGCCTTCCATGAAATCTTATTCCACTGCAGATGATGAGACGACTCAGCTGGCTGCAATGTCTGTTTTTTATGGATGTCAACACGGGACACAGAATGAGGCGAGCCAAGGAGAAGACACGTCTGTTTATTCTTTTAATTCCCACCTTTATACCCAGCATTTTTTTTTGCTTAGGGTTGTGCACGGTGGCGAGGCTAGCATTTTCCAAAAACCTCAAAGAACACCACGTGCCCACTTCCAGTGATTAACTATGTTCTATCGAAGAACAATAAGCATCAAATATTTGGATACACATTACATAACTCCTAGTCTTTTGGTTTGCAAAGTTGCGCTTACTTTAGTGCTCAAACTTCAAGAACACACACGTAGACCCCCAAACTTGTTAAAACCGTCCAATTTAAGGCCAAACTACTCTAATGGATATATATATATATATAGCCGCTGATGTGCCATCCTAATCGCTGTGCACTTCATCGCTGCCAAGTGGATGATGCTTCTACTTGCCACCCCTCCGCAAAAGCAAACCAATAAACAAAATCAAGAAACGAAACAAAAGATATTAAGAGCTCATTGCAATACACCAGCTTGGGAAACCAAGGCATGCGAAATAACTTGTGTTAAACTCAAGGATACATGAGGTCACAATCTTACGCTTCTTGGGGAGGCATCCATCTCGGGAAGGTGGAGTGGACATTGTGAACTATGATGTGGCAATGAGGATTTCATGCATGGTCGGCGTGGGGAAGAGATAACGATGAAGGAGGCGTGAGTGGCACACAAATGCATGTCT